ACAATCAAGATTTGTAATTTTTCCAAAAGACATCAAGACATCGCTACAGTCAGCCCACGAATATTGAATGAAATATGCCAGGGGTCCAACAGCAACGTGTTGACTCAGGACCCCTGGCTTGTGAGGATGATGGATGGACATCCTAAACTTTAGTAACTTAAAAAAATATATTCATAAAACATCAAGACAATTATTCATAAAACCATGACTATATAGCAAAATCTGCAGAAACAAGTAATTCTAATTTAAAAGATGTTTGATTGTCTTGATCTTCATTTGAATTCTTTGATATCATCCAGGTTTGAGACTCTTCTCTTGGTCCCCATAGAAAAACTACAGTTCTTCATATTCATGATACTGTCCATTGAACTGATAGACATGAGCTCCTGGCGCTGGACCTCCGAGAATTTGCCATAACTGTCCACAATCCTAAAAGCTTCCAGGAATTCATTAAAGTCTATTTTCCCATCATGATTTAAGTCAATGCTCTTTGCTATGTCCGAGATTTGGTCCAGTGGACAGTTCACATTCTGTTGTTTCACAAGGAGTTGGATAACTTCATTAAATTCCTCCATTGAAATTTGTCCTTTTAATTAATGATAACAAAATGAAAATAGCTAATTTAATGATACATAAGATAATAATTACACTTATGGTACTGCATTTTATGTAGAAAAAATTATGCATGTACTAGTCTTCTTTAAGTATTTAAATAATGTAATCAGTACAATTAGACCATCATTAAGAATTTTACTCCGACCCACATTTTTCAAGGTGGATAGGTAGATTTATTTTTCTTAAATATTTTCTAACATTTTGACAATTGCTTATAAACCACAGACTTAGAAATTTTCATTATGGACACCTGACAGCTAAACAAATTAAATATACTATCTATTTCCGTAAAATCTTTTAATCTAAAAAGTATCTTAATTAGAAAATTGATAGATCCTGATTTTAAAAACAATATTTACAGATAATCTATTTTAAAAAAAAAGAATTTGAAGTACTGAAAAAAGATTTGGGAGGGGCAATTTTAATGGGTCGGTTGGAGTACATCAAACAAATCATTTTTCACTGTTGGCCAAAGTTGTATACATTGTATATTCTAAGTTGATATTCTTGATGTTCTGTATCTGAAAAATTCATTTCTTTTTCTGTTATATCAGGAAAAAAAATACAACTCGGATATCTCTTCTTTCTCTCTCTCTATCTCTCTTGCTAAAGAAATCTTAAAGTCTACTTAAAACTAAGAAATATAATAACCTGAATTATCTCTATCCAGAATTCTAAACAGACTCTCCAGATTGTCCTTCTGTCTGTACAGCATTTCTGTCACAGTGGGACCATTCTGCCAGATAAATTTTACACACTGTATTTTAATTTAAACCACACATGTACAAGAACTAACAAAACTTGACCAATTTAAAACCAGCTATAAGAAAACCTGCAGTTTGAAATGTTCATGAATGCATAGTTTTTGACTGGGGATTTCTGCTCCCATAGTTCTTTCAAAGAATGAGAAATATTTTGTGTAAAAACTTCTAAAAAGCAACTAGAAATTAAGAATATATGTGACAATATGATCTATTATGTACCCCACTGTAGCGGTGATAAATTCTCATCTCTTCAAATGTTGTATCATATGCCACCATTCCATTCTCATCACACCGTGCCAGCTTAGGTCTTAGGGTTCTCCATGGGAGGTCCATTCCTAGAATGCTCCCCATTACTGTGCACCAATCATGCTGTGTCACTTTTCCTGTTAATATATAGTACTTCTAAAAAAAAAGTCTTCACTTCATAAAATCACTCTGATTTAAAACAAACCCCCTCTCTCCTATCACCATCAGGACTGGTTTTCATCAGATTGATACATAATGAACTTAAGTCATTACATTGTATCAAATTGCATCTACATATTTTTTTTGAGATGTGCTTAGGAAAGCCCTCCTGCAAATTCTTAAAGATACATTGCATTAATCCACTGTCTGAAAACCACACTGATTACACCATTTCTCTCTGATGCAGAGAGGAACATAGTAATAATGAACTGTGGGTTTCCGACAATTCATTAATCCAAAGAAAGTTCAAATCAAACACTTTGTAAATTGCAGCCTCCATTTACCAGTAATATATGTAATATGTTAATAACCTGTCTTTTCAGGGTCTAGTTTGTGGAACTCCTCCAGAAATTCTGTCTTAGAGCCCAGGATTTTCTCTCTAAGATTGACAATAGCAGATGATTCGACTTTTGTCACTCGCTGAGCAAAGGTGACCTTTCTGTTGGCACCTTTGCTGGTCATATACTGCACAAGCTGGTACTCTAGGTCCGATCCATGCAGCTTCACGTAGGCTCCCTTGTTACTACCCTCCTCATAGTAGTTAGAGGCAGAAAATATGGTTAATACCTACAAGAAATGATTGACAATCATATAGTAAGACTTTAAATTATAGTAATTTATAATTCATGTTTTTAAATACCTGAATCAGTTCATTTTCATAAGGATACTAGTACATGAATCTAATTGTAATTAATTGTGATATTTCTTTACAATCAGAAAATGAAAAAAAAAAAAAAAAGAATATTAACATGTGTATAAAACAATTAACATGCTTAAAGCAAAATAAGGATATAATCGTTAATCTAAACACAAACCTTATTGTTATGTGTGAATTCATATCCATCAGGCTTACATTCATGAGAACGAATAATGATTGACAATCATATAGTAAGACTTTAAATTATAGTAATTTATAATTCATGTTTTTAAATACCTGAATCAGTTCATTTTCATAAGGATACTAGTACATGAATCTAATTGTAATTAATTGTGATATTTCTTTACAATCAGAAAATGAAAAAAAAAAAAAAAAAGAATATTAACATGTGTATAAAACAATTAACATGCTTAAAGCAAAATAAGGATATAATCGTTAATCTAAACACAAACCTTATTGTTATGTGTGAATTCATATCCATCAGGCTTACATTCATGAGAACGAATAATTCGTTTAAGTTTGTGTTTTGTCAGTATAAAATCTGTAATATCAGGTCCAAAGTAACTTCCTCCTCCTCGAAATGTGTTGTCATGACAACCATGTTTTGTTCGTGGATCACTCCATAGTATGTCTAAAATCTAAAGATAATTTGTCATACATTGAACATGTTATTGTATGCTCATGACAGAAGTTTATACCTGAACTCTTATCTGATTGTAAAAAGTATATACTACTAACTGATCTGTGTTTCTATTAGAAAATATTACTCTACACAAAGCAGTTCCTGCTTAAAAATAACAAAGTAATAACAATAAGGTGTTATCCAAAATAAAATAATTCAATGGTTGTAAACATCATTTGTGTTCATATGTTTATATAACCCTAGCCCAAAGCATTATTTAAGGAATCCCCCCCCCCCCCCCCCCCCACAAACACACACATACACACTTGAAAAGCATGACTAGACACATTAAAATGGCATTCAAATTTATTTCAAGGTTAATATTGGTAAAAACATAGGAATCAGAGAATACAGAGCTCACCTCAACAAATGTTGTCTTTAAGTAAGGGGAGGTCCCACACTAAACTAATAATCTAGGAGTGTGCATCCCTAGATGCAATTTTGGTCTAATAGTGCTTGCAGTTACTTAGCAATGGACTTATCTAAAAACTTTAAACTAGTCACTCATTCAGAAAAGGTAAGTCAAATCCAACATCTTACAGTAAGCAAGTTTCAGAGTATTCATCCCTTGATGCATCATCCATGCAAGTTTGGTTCAGATAGGCTGTACAGTTTCTTGCTCATGGACCTGCTCCAAAAACTTTAATCTAGTCACTCATCTGAAAAATGTAAGTCAAATCCAGCATCTGAGGCAACTCTGGTAGTGTGCATCTTTTGATGCATCATCCATGCAAGTTTGGTTCAGGAAGGCTTTATAGTTTCCTGGTCATGGCCTGCTCCAAAAACTTTTACCTGTTAACTCATCTGGAAAATCTAGGTCAAATCCCACATATAAAGCAACCATGGTAGTGTACATCAATTAATGTATCTTCAGTTCAGTGCAAAGTTAATTAGTATAGGGCTTATAGTCACTTTAGAAAGAAACTGCTCCAAAAACTTTAACCTGGTCTCTCATCTGGAAAAATGTGGGTCAAATTCAGCATCTGAAGAACCTGGTAGTGATCATCCTTTGATGTATTATCCATGCAAGTTTGGTAAAGGTAGAACAAATAGTTACTTAAGAATGAACCTGCTCGAAAAACTTTAACCTGGTCACTCATCCAGAAAATGTAGGTCAGATCCAGCATCTGAAGCAACTCTGGTAGTGTACATCCTTAGATGTATCTTCCATGCAAATTTGATCAACATAGGGTTAATAGTTACTTAAGAATGGACATGCTGATATGATAACAAGCAACTAACAGGCATGTGATATAATGACAAGCTGTAACAGACAGACATGTGATATAATGACAAGCTCTAACAGAACAGACATGTGATATAATGCAAAAACAGAAAATACATGTAATATATAACAACCCGTACGAAATTTTAGTCACGTATTTTCAAAAAATATCCAGGCGTATTATAATCTTAAAATCCTGGTGGATTCTCCATTAAAATGAATACATAAAAGCAGGCGTATAAAGTGAAATACGGGCGTACAAGAGGCGTAATCCTACCGTATTTTTAGCCGAAATATGTAAATGAGTACGCCTGGAAATTCAAAATACGCCTGGAAATTTTAACAATAGAATTATACCTAGATTTCAAGCATACCCGTAATAAAAAAAAATACGCCCGTAAAATAAATACACCCGTAAAATAAATACGCCCGTATAAAAAATACGCCTGCCTTAAATATTCATTTCAAATTAAATATTATCACAGCTATGGGGACTACAACCAACATAAATATAAAAGTACAAAGTACTTTAGTACATAGATTACTAGGAGTCTAAGTGCATATAAACACATACAAAAAAGATCAGACAAATTAAGCTTACAATCATACACAATTTTTATTTTATTAATACTTTTCAGTATGCTTAAATGTGAATGAGAAATGATTAAAAATCAGAATCGAACATTTACTGTTTCAAATCACAGTCACATCACATGCTAGATTTACATTAACTTTTCCTGTTTCACAGTATTTTAACCTACAAGATTGACATATTAGTTTAGTCAGCAGTTGCAACATTCCAATAATCACAGTGAAATCACTTTATTGAGAATCATGCCGATTAATCCTGCCATTCTCTGTACTCCTTATTTGGCACAAAAGATGCAATTCACAAGCAGTTTTGTCATTCACATTTCTTATTATATTCTCCAATCACATTTTCATAGAAATATTCACAAAAAGATGTTTTTCATGTTTTATAACTCCTGGCATTGAAAATACACTTCATTCCTGATGCTACACTCAACAGCTGCAGTTCATTGGCATGCATCTATGGAAAATGTTGCAATTCTAGTCATTTGACTCTCGCAAGATCTTTTCTTCACTTAAATTCAAGTATTTATGGACTATTTCATCATTCAATTGATCGCCCAACTGATTTATCCTATGGATTATGATCTGGAAAAAGAAAAACATAAGAACATACTCAATGTCATACTGACCCATTTCAATTATGAACATCTGGCTCTGCAAATCAAGCAAATGCATCTGTCTTATTTTTTTAGGTAAAAAAATCTAATGTTATGCAATGCATTTCAAAATAATCACCTCTTCTTCACCATCTGTGCTTCGATCGTTGCCGCTTTCTCCAATCTCTTTGTTCCTGGCATGACCTTCCTGGTGGTTTAAAATTGGCGCAAATACTTGGATGTAAATATTGCTGTTGTTTATAACCCCCTTGTTACCTAAACGGTTTTATCATTTCCGAGAGATCTAATCAGTACATTATGTAAATTTGATGAAAAAAGAATTCTGTATTGTTAAAGAATACAACAACAAAAATTCATTTATGTTTACACAAGATGTTTTCTCTATATGAATTATACTTTTATTTTAAAGATTAGGGTGGATAATAGAACTGCTCTAGAGAAACCGGATATAAATTGATAAGCCGTTCTTAGAAAGGTTTACAACATTACAGATAAGTCGTTCCTAAACATGCTCAACACATCTGTAAGTAATTAGCCTAATCCCAACTGGTTCTAGACTCTAAGGGAAGAGAAAGTAGATGGTAATGTAATATTATCTGAATATACCATCTATATTTTGTTTTATTATAGAGACATTGATCATGCAATTACTGATTGAAAAATTATTTTTAGCATCAGCTATAGTGCTTTGTTAAAACTAAGGACTTAAATATTCATTTAATTAAATGCTATTTTATATTAAGCCACTAAAACATTAATGAAAGAATATACTAAGTTTGTGAGAAATAAAATCATCTTAGTTAAGAGAAATAATATTAAACATTTTTTTTAAATTTGGGAATCAGGGATGGCACAGTAATCTAAGATTAAATAGTATAATTTACTAAAATTAATTGCTTTAATAAATACAATGAATACAACAAAGGCAATATTGTAATGTAATCAATGTTTACATGTGGAGTAAATACTTTTTTGGGGGTTAATTTTAATACATGTATCACAAAAGCAACTCAATACTTACATAAAGGAGAATGAAGTTGTCTAAGTAAAATTTTTATCTAGCTCTCTTAATAATAAGGACTAAGTCAGAAAATCCACCAGGATTTCCAAAAATACGCCTTTTGAAATTTTCTAAGTTTTTATTTCCCTATGCGAAAGAGACTAAGAAAAAAATACGCCTGGATTAAGAATTTACGCCAGGAGAAAAGGAGACGTATTTCTGGCAAAAATACGTGTACGCCTGAAAATGAACCGTATTTTTAAGAATACGTCTCTTGTACGCCAGGATTTGCAAAAAGTCCAGGCGTAATACGCCTCTAAATTTCATACGGGTAACACCACCAGACAGACATGTGATATAATGACAAGCTCTAACAGAACAGACATGTGATATAATGACAAGCTCTAACAGAACAGACATGTTATATAATGACATGCTCTAACAGAACAGACATGTGATATAATGACAAGCAGTGATAGAACAAAACGTGTGATATAATGACAAGCTTTAACAGACAGACATGTGATATAATGACAAGCTGTAACAGACAGACATGTGATATAATGACAAGCTCTAACAGAACAGACATGTGTTATAATGACAAGCTCTAACAGAACAGACATGTGTTATAATGACAAACTCTAACAGAACAGACATGTGACATAATGACAAGCTCTAACAGAACAGACATGTGATATAATGACAAGCTCTAACAGAACAGACATATGATATAATGACAAGCTCTAACAGACAGACATGTGATATAATGACAAGCTCTACCAGAACAGACATGTTATATAATGACAAGCAAGTGACAGAGCAGACATGTGATATAATGACAACTTCTAACAGACAGACATGTGATATAATGACAAACTCTACCATAACAGACAAGATATAATGACAAGCTCTTAAAGAAAGGAGAAAATAATTGATTATTATGCTAGTGGCTTAAAAGAACTAATATAAGCAGTAACTGTATAACACTGCAAAAATGTGAGTACTGGTACCTTGTAAAAATATATGGTACAATGTATATTCTTACCAATTTCCATTCCCGGAGTTCAGTATCACTTAATTTTGATGTGTCACTTCCCCCTCTTGGTGGGTGTAAAATTGAAAGAAACTGAAATTAAAGACTTGTACTGATAGATCAACATATGAACAATATATAGCTTGAAAATTATATAAATCCCACAAAATCATAACTTTAACAAATACATTATAACTGCTGAACAATAAAATTACAACTAAGTATGTCTATATTCAGTGATTATTTTCATATCAAAATTGGTTACTTATTATTCTTTTGAACATGGTGTTTTTCTATGTTAATTAAATACTGTAAATGCAATATATCTAGCATGTACTATACTTAGCACATATTTTAATGTGTTAGATATAAATTTGTGTATCCAGATAAAGACACTTAGCTATATCTTTGATTTAGTGGATGCTGCTTTCCAATAAAAGAATGAAAAAGAACACATGGGTAAATGAAATATACAGGATAATTTTCAACCCCATTTTATTTTTGCCCTTAACTTCCCCCCTTGTCACAATTGAGAAAATTTAAAACAGAATTGTATCTGAGTGAATTCAAAACAGGGCAAAATTGTTTGCAGGTGTGAAAGGGTGAAAATAAGACGAGGCAAAAATAACCCTGTATACACTATGTTTACAGTATTTCAATCATAATGACATATTTAAATACCCTGTGGCATGACAGATGAATTTGTACTGCATGATATAGTAATGCAAAGTTCTACTGTTGTAATTTTGTCATTGCTGTTCTGTAGAATATTTTCCTACAAATTTTTATGTACAGATTTGAACTATTATGACTCAAATCCTAGCCCCAGGGGGTCATGTCTTCAAGAAACTTAAGACCATGCCTCCTAGAAACTTGGAATAGTCGCTTACATAGTGTTACTTGTTATTTAACAAGTTCTTTCTTTCACTAGATATATTTTCTTTAAGGTAGGATAAATGAGGAATAGTGAGGTCAAGGTCACAGGGAAGGTTAAGGTCAGAAAATTATGATACAGTTGAATAGCTCTTTCCAATTTGAATAGTGTATGAAGTTTGATGAAAATATCTTGAATTGTTTCTTTGAAACTGAGTTGTAAACACAACAAATACTAAAGTCATAGGTCATAGGGAAGGTCAAGATAAAAAAAAAGAAAAGAATTGAACACAATTGATAAGGTTCCCACCAATACGTATCAGTAAATGTGCTTTGAAAAAATATCTTGAAAAAGTTTCTTTGAAACTGAGCAGAGACAAATTCAAGAACAGTAAAGTTGAGGTCATAGAGGTCAAAGTCCAAAAATATTGATACAGTTGCATAGCTCTCACCAATATGTATCTGCTGATATGAAGTTTAATAAATATATCTTGAAAAGTTTTTTTGAAAGTGAGCTAAATGCAAATTTAAGAAAAGTGGGGTCAAGGTGAATAGGAAGGTTAAGGTCAAATTTTTTTTTACACCATAACTGTTGAATAGTTCTCACTAATTTATATCAACCTATGAAAGTTGATAAAAATATCTTGAATAGTTTCTTTGAAACTAGAACTTAACACAAATTTAAGAGAGGTGAGGTCAAGGTAAAAGGAACTTAAAGGTAAAAATATGTTGATACAGTTGAATAGAACTCATCAATATGTATCAGCATATCAAATTTGATAAAAATATCTTGAGTACCATTGTTTCTTTGAAACTGAGCTAAGCACAAATTTAAGAAAAGTGAGAAAAAGGTCAAAGGAAAGGTCAAGGTCCAAGAATGTTGATGCAGTTGAATAACTCTCATCATCATATCAGCATATGAAGTTTGATAAAAATTTTTGAATAGTTTCTTTGAGACTGAGCAATACACATATTCATGAAAGTGAGGTCAAGATCAAAGGAAAGGTCAAGGTAGATGAAGTTGATGCATTTCAATAGCTCTCATGAATATGTATCAGCATATAAGGATTGATACATCTTGAATATTTTCTTTGAAACTGAGCTAAATGCAAAGTGTGATTGACTGACAGATGGAAATATGGAAGAATGGAAAGAGGGACAATACAAACACAATATGCCTGGCCATATTCATGGCAGGGCATACAAACATTCGCCTCATGGTTTTACAAAGGCAATTAATACCTCTGTACAAGAATTATTTTTTTCGGAAAAGTAAAACAGACAATTCTTTTAATATACCTTGTGCCTATCTATGGTTGCCAGGAAATTGAGATCCAAGGTGTCTGATACACCACCATGTACAACAAGAATTTTGTAGTCAACAATAGTTGCTATTGGTAACCAACTAAAAACATCCTCAAACAGGTGGATGACTTTGCTTGCATGTATCTAGTCTCAAAAATTAGAGAAAAAAAAAACAAGAAATCATCATAAAGATAAGATTTTGAAGCATCAAATGTTTAATACAATCAGATCTTCAAATTTTGTTATCAGCCCTAAACAACTTGTTTATTATGCAAATTGAAACAGAAACAAGTCAACAATAAACTTGGTCTTCAACAATGTCACAATCCTAATTTTTCATGTACATAATGTACCTATCCATGAAATTTGAAGATAGCAGTTAGGACATGATATTATCCACAACAGAGGTTACAGCCTTTTCATTTACATTTCAAGATCAATGTTAAGGCCTAGGTTGGCTTTAAAAGCATTATTAAAAACATCTCAATTCACTTTAATACAAATTTCAATGGTATTATCACCCTTATTCAACTATAGTTTCATTTAACTACATGTGAAACTGAAGATAATGATTCTAAGAAACCTTCTTTGACAGAAATATTATTATTTACTAATCTTAAAGTCAAATGAAAAAGTCAAGGTCAAATCAAGTTGGTACATAGTCACTCTTACTACATATGATTTTGTTGGTTTAATGTCAAGGTCAAAGGTCAATACCAATTATCTAAATCGCCTCTTTTTGATCATCTTTTGTGCAAAACTTGAAGAAATTCTTTGAATAGGACACATATCACAATGAAAAATTGACGCGAACAGCTAAAAAAAATTTTGAGACAGACAGACACCTGATCAATTGACCTGATTTTGCTTTGCAATTCAGTTGAACATTTTAAACACATATAAAAGAAGCTCATGGCTAAATAGCACTCATTTCGCTTTTACAGATCACACATTAGTTATTTCAAATCTCTATCTGATGACCACAGTTTGAGTCTGAATCTACACAATACATGTAAAGGTATATAACTGCTTCCATATAAATATTTCCAGGTAAATATTATTGAAGAACATTCAACACTTACGGAGTATTTTTTCACCAGTTCTTTAACAAATCCGTATCTGAAAA